TGTTAGGAGGGAGAGCTGAGGCTTGCCCTTGTTAGGAGGGAGAGCTGGGGCTTGCCCTTGTTAGGAGGGAGAGCCGAGGCTTGCCCTTGCAAGCTTCTCTGCCTCAGCCTGGCAGCAGGGTGGCATTGCTCCTTCCTCACTCCCAAGAGAGGAGAGGAGGGGAAACAGCCACAGGTAAGGCTTTGACCTTCTCCCTCTCCCCAGTTTGTAAGTACATTGTTCATGACCGCTGTGCCATGAAGGCCCTGCCTTGTGACGTCAGCACCTATGCCAAGTCTCGGAAAGACATTGGTGTGAGTGACCCCGTGCCCGCTTCTCTCCCACACTGCCAACCCCATCCTGGTCCTGCTCCCTAGCCTTCTGCTGTCCTCATGCCCTCCCACAAGACCCTCCCAGACAAAGGCCTGCCTCTCTCCCCCAAGATCCAGTCACATGTGTGGGTCCGAGGAGGCTGTGATTCTGGGCGCTGTGACCGCTGCCAGAAGAAGATCCGGATCTACCACAGCTTAACAGGACTGCACTGCGTGTGGTGCCACCTGGAGGTCAGTCCCGGAGCTCCCCATCCAGGCTGAGCGCCAGAGCACAACTCTTTGCTCACTGCCACAGTTATTCTTGCTCCTAGGGGCTCTTTTTCCTGCCCATACTCTTAAGCTGAGAACTGGCAAAGTCTCTGCCTGGTTTCTGTTCCCCCTCTGTGCTCCTAGATCCATGACGAATGTCTGCAGGCTGTGGGTCCTGAGTGTGACTGTGGACTGCTCCGTGATCATATCCTGCCTCCGTCTTCCATCTACCCCAGGTTCCTGGTAAGACTGTCAACTGCAGGGGATAGGATCATATCCCATCTTCCCCATGAACACACCTCTGTACACACAGAATACCTTTGGTTTGATATGGGGTTCTGTTTCTCATTGTGTAGCCCTGGCTAGCCTGGAACTTGCTGTGTAGACTAAGCTAGCCTTGAACTCAGTTCTGCCTGTCTCTACCTCCTGAGTGTTGGGATTATAGGATAGATGTGAACCACCATACCCAGCCAATGACATTTAGAACAAAGAGCCAGCACTTCAGGGTTCAAGTTGAGACCCACTCATTTTTTTTCTTTTAAAAGATTTACTTATTATTTATATAACATTCTGCCTGTACACCAGATCTTACTATAGATGGTTATGAGACACCATGTGGTTGCTGGGAATTGAACTTGGGACCTTTGGAAGAACAGCGAGTGCTCTTAACCTCTGAGCCATCTCTCCAGCCCGAGACCCACCCATTTGATTCCTGGATAACCCATCTTTTTTTCCCCCTTCATTGTTCCCCTCCCAGGCATCTGGACAAGAGCGTAAACTGAAGACTACAGATGACACAAACTTGTGCATCCCTGAGGCTTTTCGGGTACAGGGCTGAGGGTCTTGGTCCTCAAGAACCAGCTTTCACTGGGATCCTTCTTGGGAGGGACTGAAGTGGAAAGTAGGGGATGGCTGCTCTTTGAAAGCTCCAGCTTGGCAGAGGAGGCGAGGGGAGAGGAAAAAGCAGGAGAGGGGAAGCGTTTTGGGAAATGCCAGTCCTGTGCCTCTGCAGGGCTCACCTTTATCTGACAAAATCCTACTTTTTTCTAATCCTTATTTTCTTCCCCCACTGCAGATTGACCCTGTTCCTAACAGCCACCCACTTCTAGTGTTTGTCAATCTTAAGAGTGGCGGGAAGCAGGGACAGAGGTGAGGAGGCATACTGCTTCTTCCTAGACAAGAGGAAGGATCGGAGCGTGGAGGGAGGGAGGGGATGTGTGGATGGAAGGGCCTTTGGGGGGGGACATTAAGGTAGAGTAAATAAAAAAGATGCACAGAAGATG